AGGGGGCCCAGCTCATAGATTCTGGTCTCTCGGCTGAGGTCGTTGAGACCATCCTCCAATCCAGAGCTCCCTCCACGAGGAAGTTATATGCCGCGAGGTGGAAACTTTTCACCTCTTGGTGTGGAGAGCGCCAGCAGGACCCAGTTAACTGCCCGGTTGGTACAGTGCTGGATTTCCTGCAGGACCGTCTCTCCACAGGGTTATCCCACTCCACACTGAAGGTGTATGTGGCGGCCTTAGCTGCTTACCACGCCCCTTCAAGTGGAGGTTCCCTCGGGAAACACCCACTTATATCTCGCTTCCTTCGTGGCACCCTGAGGCTGAGGCCTGCAGTTCGCACAAGGGTACCAGCTTGGGATCTGGCCATCGTCTTAGAAGGCCTCTCCCTTGCTCCTTTTGAGCCCATCGAGGAAGTTTCGGAAAAGTTTCTTACTCTTAAGACTATCCTTCTTCTTGCTATTTCATCTCTAAAAAGGATTGGTGATATTCAAGCACTTTCGGTGGCTCCCTCGTGCCTGGAATTTGCTCCTGGTATGGTTAAGGCCTTTCTCTGTCCGAGACCAGGTTATGTTCCTAAGGTGCCGACCACTTTGGTTAGACCTATAGTTCTGCAGGCTTTCTGTCCTCCGCCTTTTCTGACGTCAGACCAGAGGAAACTTAATTTGCTGTGCCCTGTTAGGGCTTTAGATGCGTATGTCCACAGAGCTGCTCTGTGGAGGAGATCGGAACAACTGTTTGTCTGTTTTGGGTCACCTAAGAGAGGGTGTCCTGCATCTAAGCAAAGGATGAGCAAGTGGGTGGTCGAGGCCATCTCGCTTGCTTACGGTTCGGCCCATCAGCCTTCACCTTTGGCTGTAAGGGCTCATTCCACCAGGAGTATGGCTGCCTCTACAGCTCTTCTTTCAGGAGCTTCTCTTCAGGACGTTTGTGATGCGGCAGGCTGGTCCTCACCGCACACTTTCGTCAGGTTTTATTCCCTTGACCTTAGCTCCACTCCCGGGGCTCAGGTTCTCTCGTCGGCTTGTGTCTCCTAATGACACACGACGGGGATTTGGTCGTATGGGGATGTGGGTATTGCGTTCCCACTGCGATTACACGCAGCGGTAGTCCCTGAAGGGGAACGTCCCGGGTTACGTATGTAACCCTAGTTCCCCGAAGGGACGGACGCTGCGTGTCCTGCCATACTCTCGGCATCCCCTTGGGTCGCTGCTTCAGTGACTTTTAAGCTGGCGTGTTGTGTGCTCAGGGGATATTTATAGCTTCCTGGTCTATGACGTCACTCGCCGTACGCTCATTCTCTCCATTGACTGATTTCATTCATGCTTCAGACGCGTCACGCTGGGGCGTTCCCACTGCGATTACACGCAGCGTCCGTCCCTTCGGGGAACTAGGGTTACATACGTAACCCGGGACGTTTGTTTTTGTTTAATAAAAGACTGCTGCACTTAGATCCAGTTTCGTCTCTGCCGCAACCTCCACAGTAACAGTTGGGCCATTTCTACTTACTCGTTTGAAGTTTACTTTGCAATACTCTGGAACGTTTGAGTACGATAAAACTGTACAACTAGAAAACTGTGAAAAATGCAACCTTATTAATTCTTCATGACCCAGTGCATGATGGGAACAACAGTATTAGAATGTTAGGTTTTACTTAATTTTATAACTTTGATACTTACTCAAAGATTCATTGTACACATAACAAACAATTCCAAGCAAAATACACTTGTAAGTTCAAGCTTTGGTTTCTACAAAATAGAATTGAGTACTAATATAGAATTTATTAATTATTTTTAAAGAAACTAACTTATTCAATATAGAAATTACATTTGGGTTTTTTTCTGTAGTATTTACTTCACCACAGAATCATTTGTATAATTTATCAGACCAATTAACAGCACAATATGACTGAAGCCTGGTTTATTTTACTGTGTCTTTCTGGTGTGCGAATCACTGTATACTGTGCTTGCGCCAAGATTAATAAACAATAAACAAACAAAGGAATAAAACCCGCTAAAACTCCCCCAATGTTCAAACCAAAACTACTCCTTTTGACATGAGTAAATAATGACAGAATTTCCATTTTTGGCTGAACTAAGCCACTTGCTAGCCTCAGCTGTACACCGAACAAAGCTGTAATCACAGCATAAGGTAGCTTTTCAGTGGCTTTTCAGACCTTGATATTTATTACAAGCCATTATCCCTCATCAATTCTAGGGCATCTTTACATTTCCTTGCAGTGAACATAATATGTGAACCTTTGTTTCTAAAACTGACTTAACCCACACAATTTCTCCCACCGGGCTTAGCTTGTTATTAGTTTAGTAAGGTCTGCTCAGAGAAGCTCTAGTGCCATATACAGCATATGACAGGAAGATGAGGAACCCAGGAGAAAAGGTTATAATACCCTTGCTTCTCTGTGTCTTTTTCTTCTACAAAGCCCTTAATGATAGGTGTGCATGCAGCAGGTGCATATGTGGGTGTGGAAAGCAGGAATCGTCGTTTGACATTCTCCAAATGTATCTTTCCTGAAAGTGGGGGAAATGTGCCTCAAATATCCCTCATCATTGTTGAGTAGTCTAATGATCCTGTTTGCTGGTAAAGTTGGAGAGGGAGGCCAGATTACCTTTCAGCTATTTTGATACGCTTTGTGTGTGTGTGTGTGTGGTGCGAGATGTTCCTGTGAGGCCCATTAGACTTGCCTGTGGCCTGGGTAAGAGAAGGGAAAATTTCTTTCCTCCAGGGGTCTGCACTCATCACCTCCCATAAAGGTCACTTAGACAAACGCTAATGCACATAGGAGGCGTTGATGGAGGGCGGTACTCAGAACAGAACTAAAGGTAGGAGTTGCGCTTTTATGCTCTTCTAGGATGAGATTTTTTCCACTAAACATCCCGGACCATTATATGGTCTATTTCAGTTCTCTCTTACCCCAGTAGACCCAGTAATGAGTGTTGGCTTTTATGATTATACTTGAGACATTTGAGTTGGATCTGGTTGACCTTTCAAATCCCATAATCTTCATTCATAGACTGGCTATTTTATTGCTCTGCTCCTCTTGCCCTCCAACCCTCATGGAGCTCCATTTGGCCTCTGTGCATTCGGTCGATCTGTCCTAGCTTGGCTTTAGGGGAAGCTCAGGTCCCCGCTGTTGTCACAAATGATATGTCAGAAGCACAACGAAGCCATTCGTAGGAACCATGCTGGGTCTGTATAATTTAACACGTAGCACTCAGCACTGGGCTGGTGCCAAAATGCTCAACTGCAGATCTCATCTAATCGTATTCTACTCCACACAGCACCATGCAGTCCTTCATAATTGCCTCTTTGAAAAGGTGTTTTGTTAGGTATGATTAGTCATACCACATAAGAGCGCAGACGCTCCTGACTGTATAGAGGATTGACTGCATTTGGGTGAATCTCATAAAACCATAAAAAGTTTTGGTGATATGTTTGCATTATATATAACAAATTAGCACCCCTTAAATATAGTATTAGAGTAATGAATCATCACTGAGAATAATGTGAGGTGTTATGATTTAAAAATAATGTTGTAAAAAACAGAAAATGTTTTGCATTTTCTTTTTTGAATCTCGCTTGACTGACAATTTTGCTTTAATAAACAAATGCCATCTGTTTATCAGTAGATGTAAATCAGTTAAGGTGAGACATTTAGTTGCATTTGATGTTGTGATTTCACTGGACCAGAGAGCGTTCTGATGAGACACAGAGAAATGAAGTGTGCTTCTGTGAACAGCTGTGTGCGGGTACAGTGCTCCATGCAGAACACTGCCAGCCTGCCTATGAGCGAGTCTGCCACCGACTAAGGAGAATACCTAATGTAACCATCGTTAAAGATTTTTTAAAAGATAAGGGACTGGTAAGGGTTGATTCTAAGGGAAATAACCACCGATAGCTCGCTGCAGCTGTTTGGTTCAGGCAAAGTGAAGAGAGATCACATAATCGCAGATACTTCAGAGTGTTGACAGCTATAATCTCAGATTTTTAGGGGTGGATTGCGATGAAAGACATAAAAATAGGGTCTAACAATGCCTATGGCCCGAACTCTACTCCCCATCGTTTTTTGTCTCCAATGTCTTTGCCACCATGAATAAAATGCACATGTGTGTGTGTTTGTAAAACTAAGTACTTGTATATGTACTTACAGTAATTGTACATAATTATTTAGGATCCATAATTGTATAAGAATAATTAGGCCTACTCCAGTCGTCTGTGTCACATGATCTTAAAGAACTCACCCTGTTGATTTGGTGCTCAATTATAAATAATGTTTTTTTTTTTTTATCAGTTTTCAAAACCATTTTTTGCTGCCTAATATTTTTCTAAACTGGGATGAATAAATTACATTTTAAAATATTTTCCAATAGTCATATATATATATATATATATATATATACCGGGTATATAGCTATATTACACAGTATGTACTGCTTTCACTGTATTTGATCATATATATGTGTGTGTTATTTTTATGTACACTGCAACAGTATGCACAAATCTGTACTGTAAATTTGATTAAATTTAAGTCATGTAGCCTGCTAGTAGTTAAAGACGCATTATGTAAATTGGTTTGTGAAGAAGTGACATTTACAAAACTGGCTAATTTAACTTCTGGTATGTTAGCTTTTGGCTCTGGATTGATTTACACATGCACTAAGACGACTTTATTATGAAACGATCTCTGTGCGTGACTTTCGGTTTTCTTGATGGTGGGAAAAGTGCTCAGTCGTTCACTAATTGCACATTCAGAGTAATTAAACCGGACCGTCGAGTACTGTGAGATGCGTTACAGATAAACTGGCTGGCCACCACCCTTGCTACCCGTTGCCGTGCGCCAGAGCGCAGCTGCATTAACACACAGCCTGTGGATCCTCGCGCGTTATTTGGTGTGCGACTGGTTGCAGGCAGTGACGGCGCGCGCGCGCGCTCTCTCCCCCTCTCTCTCTCTCTCCCTCCCTCTCTCTTTCCGCGCTTCAGTCTGAATGAGCACACCTCGTCCTGCCACGGGCTTGCGTTCTTGAGGAATTCGTCATCAATGAAAGTGAAAGAAGACTAAATAGGAGAGGAGAAATGCAAGGATGCCGGCAGGTCAGAGGAGACAGACGATTCCTTAATGGGTGAGTTAATCATAAATAACATTTATTCTTTTTACGTGCGAGAAAACACTGGTGTTTATTTATTTAATTCGTTTTAGATGGATGTAGTCCATATCTTTCTTCTCACTGCGAAGTATCACGTATTCCTTTAACAATTATTGTATTTTTAAAATTAATTTACATATTAATTTGTAGAAAAAAAAGTATTTAAAAAAGCCTGATTGAAGAATTCACAGTTACTTATGTCTGAAAACGACTGTAAGTTCGGAAAGTGAATGAATTCTTAACGTTTTAAAATGTGGATTTAAGCCATTTCAAGTAATTTAGCTTCTCTTTGTTTGGCTATGATCCTGCGCGCAGGATAATACAACACATCTTGTAAATGCTATATAAAAGCTTATTTTAATGACGGCAGTGCTGGTGATTTTGCTATTACCGGTATATAGTTGGAGATGAACCTCAAAGATTGTATTGAATGCGCTGTGATGTGTAACAGAACTTTAGTGTTTCCTCTGCGCATCGCTCCACATCTATTACGCATCTTGTTAATCAAGTGATATTAACACATTAGGTCAAACATTTTCATGAAATAGAGTCATGACCTTACTCAAGTCTTTCCTCCGTTGTTCGCAATTTACTGTCAATGTCAAAGAGTGTAAAATTAATCCCCTTCTAGCGGCATTTAAATGGGTCTTTGCCAGAAATCCAGTTTTATGAGTCAGATTCAGTAATAGCCTATGTAGAGACAAAATGAGCATTGGTCACGTTCATTGTAGTTGCTGAGGTATATTTGCCTTGATCTAATTAAAATAGATGATTAATTGGTGATATCAATTTAGTAAGTGGGATCTCTCTGAGACTAGCAGTGAATTTATTACTGCAGGTTTCGTGTGGTGACATTATGCGACGCGATGTGTCCAGATTCCTTCCAATTCCTTATTATGAGTGGGACTTGGAGAGGCGCGCGCCCGCGTGAAAGAGTGAGGACGCGTACAGGTTTGAAAAGTGGACGCTGTAATAAGATGAAATGACGCAATACGGTTGACATCATCCGCGCGCAGAGTTGCATACGTTGTTCCACATTTAGCGTAGTTTAAAAATGACATTAAGTCAGATTTTTGAGAATGAAAGTGAGTTAATTAGCATCCTATTGTTTTATAGAAAGGTGTTTCGATTTTGATACTGTTTTTAAGACATTTAATTATTTGGTGCTTTCATGATGCAATTAAAATTGTCTAGATGAAATATTGTTTTAATCCACATTTTCTTTGCCCTGAGGTCATATGTAACCAATATAACCTATGGATAGGCCTACTTTTCACAGACTGTGGTGATAGTTTCTACAAGTATTAACATCGTAAATCAAGCAACACTTATTTTTATTTTCACTATTTAAAAAAATAAATAATAATAATAATGTACATTTATATCAAAATGTATTTGGCTTTAAGTTACAAAAACTTGCTGTGTGTTTTTAAATAAAATGGCTGATGGTAAATGTATAATTTTTCTCTCCTCTGACTACTGTAATCCATCTCTTTTTTTTTTTTCCTGTTTTGGAAAGTCGTGGAAATGCTATTGTGGATTATTTTTCTTTTACTATTGGAACAAATGGAAACCCAACAATCATATTTCCTGAAGTAACCTGCTCACCACTATATACATTTACCCATCTATGGTGACTTCCACTTCTGATAACCCCGAAAAGGGTCCATTAGAAATTATCTACATGTGATGTATGTGAATAATGCATTTCCCTGGTTGTGATTTTTTTTTTTTTTTTTTGCTCATACTCATTCCAGATCATTTATAATACATCTTAGCTCATCTGGAATCAACCTTCATAATTTTCTTTCTGATCTCATTAGTTTATGTATTGAAGTGGACAACTGATCTAGAGTCAGCACCCTGGAGAGAAATTGATGATGTGAGGCTGTGCTGGAGTGTGTTCTGGTGTTCTGGGCTTTGGTTTTATGTTTAATGTTCTGCTTCTCTGTGGGGTTTCTCATAAATATGAATCGACTGCCTGGTGCAGGCATTAGGGCTTTGTCTCAGCGGCCCTGGACCGTGCTTATTCAGTGTTCTGTCAGGTCTGATTGTACCCAGTGGGAATGGCTCACCACTATGAATGAAACACAGTAGTTTGTAGTAGTTTTGGCTTGTTTGTGGTTCCGTTTTTTTTAAATAACATTTTGTTTTTGTTGCATTTAAAATGTTTGTTGTCATATCTTTTCAATGCGTTTGTTTTTACTAACATCCAGCGGGATAAAGAATGTCAATAATCTTAAACCTTCAGTTTAAATTCATTTGCTGGTGTGACGATCACCATGAGCATTAGAAGATCCTCTGCTTAATCATTTTGTGTTCTTTAATTTCTTTATGCAAAACGAAAGCTGCCCAAACAGGCACCGAACACAAAAACACACATGGATAAATACATGCGTGTAGTGCACGGAAAGCGTTGTGTGTGTCCACAGGGGAAAATTCCCTTTCTGCCTGTCTGCCTTTTTCTCTCTTTTCCTCTCTGTCGGTCTTTCACACATCCCCCCCATCTCATCTGATCTTGTCTTGGTGTGCTCTCGTACCCATGTCCCCAGATTACAGCCCCGGAGACAAGCTACAGAAACAGTCTACCTGTCACAGAGTTCAACCCTTGGGACTAGAGACATCCCAGGTTCAGTGCCACAGCATGTGGGAGCTTCTCCGGCCGTTTCCATCTGAGTCTGTCTTTTTTAGGTCCCAAATACAAGAGATGCCCCATATGTCACTTTTCTTCCCTGGGCAGCATCAGTACTGGGATGAATCACACAGAGGCATTTTGATATTCTGAGAGGTCATACTTGCCACACTTGTGACTAAACGTAACATTTATTGTTCAAAAGTTTGAGGTCAGTGAGATTTTTTTTTTTTTTTTAAGAAATGAATAGGCCAACTTTTATTTAGCAAGGACACATTAAATTGCTCAAAAGTGAAAATTTTTGAGCACCAAATCAGCATATTAGAAAGATTTCTGAAGGATCATGTGACACTGAAGACTGAAGTAATGGCTGCTGAAAATTCAGCTTTGCCACCACAAAAATATATATTTAATGTAATATATTAAATTAAAAAATATATTAAAGGTTTTGAATTGTTATAATACTTCTCAATATTACTGTTTTTACTGTATTTTTGATCAAAAAAGTGCTGCCTTGGTGAGCATAAGATACTTCTTTAAAAAAAAACATAAAAAATATTGCCAACCTCAAACATTTGATTGATAGTGTATTTGCAAGGGTTTGAGAGGAGTGGCATAGGTAGTGCTATTTTTAGATTTAATATATCAAATGAAGCTGACAAAGTTGACAACTGTGTTATCAGGAGTTTAGTTCATCAAAGACTTTTGGCTTCCCTCATGAAGGGAATTGACTTTCCAGAATAAGAAAAATCTAGTGCCAGTTTCCCTTCAGTTGTTCAGTATTCACGAGTGTGGCTATGTCTTTGGCACTGTCACTGCACCTCTCTCTTTCCTTTCACATGACTTGACTGGTGAGGTGTTTCTTTGATGAAACATGCCTTTGGAGACCCCTGTTCATTCCAGCAGCCTGTTTCCAGTTGTTACACCCTTTAACTGTGATAGTGTCAGCAGTTCAGATCAGAACCTCAGCAATAGCATATGCAGTATTGGCCTGATATAATATAGCTTATACAGCAATCTGTTTATTAGCAAAAGGACGAATGGAAGTGACAACCACATTTACTAGTGGGAGTGAATCTCAAATGTTGATTTTCTGCATGTGTACTGTACTTAGTGTAGTGATAACTATAGAAATGTCTTGCAGTTTTTTGCAGGGGTTTCAAACGGGACAGTACTAGAATATCATGTTGAACCTTTTGAAGGTATTAAAGAATAGAGTAACAAAGAGTGGAAGGGCACACAATCCATACAGAAAAAAATGACTCTGCCCCTTGAAGACACATTGATTCATGTAATTCTGATTTTCATGTCTGTCAGCATGTTCCAAGTCCAACCGAGTGAGGAGTCATCATTAAAACATGGTGTCTTGTAGAACCTGTTTCCCCAGCTACTAGGAATCGTTTAGAATATACACAGGAACATAACAGTTTTCATTGTTTCTTTGTGTTTGCATACCAGGCCTAAATATTCAACTACGGTAAATATTCCCCACACACTGCATCATTCTCTACACTGATGTATTCGCACGATTACATCTATTAGAAAGATCAGTGAAACACATTTCTAATGTCAATGTATGAAAGTAATAAATTAAATGCAGATTGTTTTTCAGTGTTGCTGCGCTCAGGAATCAACTCTGGGCCAAGCAATAGTTAATTAGTTCACTGTACTTGAACTAATGTGCCTTTATTTATATGTAATGTATTGGCAGACATTAAGCGTCATACAAAGCAACCCTGCATTCAAGGTGTACCAGGGGTCTTCATAGGGGGTCCTCAACCTGTAGGATGTCTGTGGTTGTACTGCAGGGGTCTGCCAATTGTTGTGCAATATTGAAGATATTTTTATGTGAGAATTTTTTTTTATTATGTGGTGGCATGAATATATTTACATAATCTTGGAGTAGGTACTTCTTTTGAATAAGTAATTACTTTCTGACCGTTATAAGTATGTTCTTGTACTAAATGTATCTGTCATGTTCTCATTGTCATGTGACCTACCAGCATCAGTTGCGTTATTTCATTACTATTCACAAATTCTTAGTCGTGTCCATCAGATTCGCTCTTCAGAATCTTGTCGGAAGTTGTAAGTCATCCGGGTTTAACTAGGCCTACTGTTTTATGAAGAATCGAACATACTCCCATATACTATTTAGTAGGAAGTATGCTAATTCAGATGCAGCCTAAAACATTTCTATTTCTTTCCTGTTCCTCATAAAAATAAAATGAAACCGCTTTGGAACGACATAAAGATGAGTAAATGATGACAGAATTTTTATTTTTGGGTGAACTATATGCCTTTAAGTTCACTACAACCAAATATAAACAAAGCTAAAGTTAAAATG